ACTTCCGAGGGTTTTGCAGGGGTGTCAAACTCATTTTGGTCCGGGGGCCGTATCCAACCTACTTTGATCCCAAAGGGGCCGGATCAGAAAACTCACGACATATAAACCCTAAAAATAACAATAAGTTCAAATATTTGTGCAGAGAAACGCAAATCTATTACAGAAATCTTTTTTAATTGATGAACTCTTTCTTTTACAAAATATTATAATATTTTGAACAACCTGAAACTTTAAGAAAAATTCCATTTCAACACAAAGTTTTAACATGAACTTATATGCAAATAGGAATAAGTCAATTTTTCTTGGAAAATCCTGCACTCGGCTCCACTTTTCTCACTTTTGACATTTTTCTGATGAGGGTGTCACGGTCAACAGTCAAAACGATCGTCCTTTAAGAGCGTTTGGAAAGAGACAAGTCTTCATTTGTGCTGCTCTGGTGGGAGGGGCCACGTACAGAGACGCTGGAGACGTTGCTGTGATAAACAACGCAGAAAATTAACAAGATTTGAATAGAAAATATCATTAAAATATTTTAGTAGAAAACCAGCCAAGGGCCACATTAAAGGTCTTGGAGGGCCGGATCTTGACACCCATGGTTTAGTGTATTTTGATTCCTGACCTAGTCGCTGCAGAGAAATGAAACTGAGCGGAGACATTAGGTGGCACCAACCTGGGTAGGGTTTTATTACAAAAGAGAAGAAAACAAAAACTGAGGACCTGTTTACACAAGAACACTTACGGGTAAAAAAACGACAAAATATTTTATCGGAAATGCCTTTCGTTTAGACGGTGACGGCGTTTTTGGGGCTTAAAAACGCAAATATCTGAAAAATCTGGAAAAGTTGAATACACTCCGTCGTAGTGTTTCCGTCTACACTGCCCAAGACGCAAAACTCTGGTCAGATCTGCTCAGGTCGTGTACACGTTTACGTCACATACATCATCACCACCGAGCCGTCTGTCATGCAAACCTGATCGAATTCCATCCACTTTTGTGTCACCGTATGCACGCAGATTTCCTCCTGAAAACTCTCATCTAAACGCGAAATAAAAAGTGAAGATGTGACGCCACTTTTACGTCTTCTGTTCAAACCGTCATCATATAAACATAACCAAAAAAAACTTGAAAAACCTGCATTCTTACTGGAGATAGACCTAGATAAACTGAACTCCATACATCAAATCTCCTTGGAGAGAAGCAGACGATGGATCCACCTCCAAAAAAGTTCCACGGCGCAACTTTAAATTCATGTATCCAGCATCAACAACAACAACAATAGTCCTGACATTCAGAGAGCATTATGGGGGAATCACAGATTATCAAAAGGAGGAACATCTAGTCTAGACGGTTTTATTGGTGCATTGCAGACTGTTTATATCTGACAGGCTTTAAGTGCGACGATGATTTAGGAGCGTATGTATGGCCTATAAAGTAAAATAGTAGGCTTGTATAATAATAAATATGTGAGCTCGTATTTGCTGTCAGGGCTCTCAACACAAAAGCTCGGCCAGTGTTTATTTTAGTACATGATTATTTTATTTTAACTGTAAGGACAATGAAATATACGGACCTGTACGGCATCTGCAATTACCCAGCAACTTTTTTAGATTATTAATGATACCTTTTATGTGATGTCTTAAACTGAGACTTAGACAAATGTTATTAATCCACGAGGGAAATGACTTGGACACAGTAGCTCACACATCACATTATATCACAATAACAAAGAGTAAAAAATAAATATATGTATATAAAAATGGTAATAAACTTCTAAATAAGTAGCAGAGGTGGGGACTCGCAAGTCGGTTTTTGAACCCCGAGGAGTTCCCAGGCCAGTCAAGAGACATAGTCCCTCCAGTGTGTCCTGGGTCTTCCCCGGGGCCTCCTCCCGGTGGGACATGCCCGGAACACCTCCCGAGGGAGGCGCCCAGGAGGCATCCAGAACAGATGCCCGAGCCTCAACTGCTCCTCTCAACGTGGAGGAGCAGCGGCTCTACTCCGAACTCCATGTGACTGAGCTCCTCACCCTGTCTCTAAGGGAGCGTCCAGCCACCCTGCGAAGGAAACTAATTTTGAGCGCTTGTATCTGCGATCTTGTCCTTTCGGTCACTACCCAGAGCTCATGACCACAGGTGAGAGTAGGAACGAAGATTGACTGTAAATCGAGAGCTTCGCCTTTCGGCTCAACTCCCTCTTCACCACAACGGTCCGATACAGAGACGACATCACTGCCGATGCTGCACCGATCCGCCTGTCAATCTCACGTTCCGTCCTCCCCTCACTCGTGAACAAGACCCCGAGATACTTGAACTCCTCCACTTGAGGCAAGGACTCTCCACCCACCTGGAGAGGGCAAGCCACCTTTGTCCACTCGAGAACCATGGCCTCAGACTTGGAAGAGCTGATTCTCATCCCAGGCACTTCACACTCGGCTGCAAACCGCCCCAGTGCCCATTGCAGGTCCTGGTTCGATGAAATCAACAGGACAACATCATCTGGAAACTGCAGGGATGAAATCCTGTGGTCCTCAAACCGGACCCCCTCCGGCCCCTGACTGCGCCTAGAAATTCTGTCCATAAAAACAATGAACAGAACCGGTGACAAAGGGCAGCCCTGGCGGAGTCCAACATGCACCGGGAACAGGTCTGACTTACTGCCGGCAATGAACACAGCTCCTGCTCCGGTCATACAGGGACCGGACAGCCCTTAGCAAAGGGCCCCGGACCCCATACTCCCAGAGCACCCCCCACAGGACACCACGAGGGACACGGTCGAATGCCTTCTCCAGATCCACAAAGCACATGTGGACTGGTTGGGCAAACTCCCATGAACCTCGAGCACCGATGGAGAGTGTAGAGCTGGTCCAGTGTTCCACGGCCAGGACGAAAACCACACTGCTCCTCCTGGATCCGAGGTTCGACTATCGGCCGGATTCTCCTCTCCAGTACCCTGGCATAGACCTAGTCATAGCCTAGACATAGTATTATGAATTAAAAACGATCGTATGTCTTTTGCAGCTAAATATATGTGTGTGTCATCTTTAGAACAGCTTGTTTACTTTGTAGAGCCATAGAATCTATTTATACACAGGTACTTGAGTATTTGTATTAGTATTCATTACTTCTTCCTGTATTTTATAAATCAGAACTGCAATATTTTTTTTTTTTTTTTCACAATGCCATGCTATAAGTTTTAAACTACGGTGACCAGACGTTCATATTTAAGCGAGACAGTCCCAGTTTTGAGTCTTGTATCTCCTGTCCCAGCAGATTTATCCAAAACCAGTAATTTGTCCCAGTTTTATACAAGAAATGTCCAATGTATCCCTATTTTTAACCAATTTAATACCTGCCAACAGTAAAGAGAGACATATATTGTGATTTGCTTAGATAAAATACAGAAAAGCTGCTTAAAAACGATCAAAACACAAAGAAAATGTGACTATATTGACACAATTTTCCTTTATTATGTCTTCCTTTTATTACTAACCAACCCAGTTTTTTATTTTGAAAATCTGGACACCTTATTCTTCCATGTATTTTATATATTAGGACTACAATCATGCTTTTTTTTTTTGCAGTGCCATGCTATAACTTTTAAAGGTCAAGTTAATAGTATTATTTAAAAATGATCGTATGTCTTTTGCAGTTAAAAATACGCGTGTGACATCTTTAAAACAGTTTGTCTACTTCCAGAGCTGTACAATCTATTTAATTACAGTAACTTGAGTATTTGTATTAGTATTTGTTACATCTTCTTTTTCTTTTTTTTGCAATGCCATGCTGTAACTTAGGCTGCTGCCCCCGCGACCTGGCGGGACGAAGCGGACGAAAATGGACAGATGGATGGATGCTACAGTGACCAGACGGTGCCCAGATTTTCAAAATAAAAAACTGTGTTGGTTGGTAATAATAAATTGTGAAAGGAGGGCGTAATTAAGGAAAATTGTGTCAGTATAGAAAGACCAGGATTGAGACCGAGACCAGACCAGGACTGAAAACGGTTTAGTCCTAGTTTAGTCCTGGTTTAAGTCACGGAAATGGGAAATGGCGTTTCCGTGACTTTAAAATGCGATGACTATTGAGCCGCATATGGACTGCCAGGACTGAACCATTACTGAATCGGGACTAAACCAGGACTAAACCATTTTCAGTCCTGGTCTGGTCCCGGTCTCAGTCCCAGTCTCAGTCCTGGTCCTGTTCCCGGTCTCAATCCTGGTCTCAGTTCTTGTCTGATCCCAGTCTCGGTCTTCGTCCCTGACTCAGTCCTTGTCTAAGTCCTAGTCTCAGTCTCAGTCTGGTCTCTGACCTGGTTTAGTCCTGGTTTAGTCCTGGTTCAGTCCTGGTTCAGTCCGAAGGCGCAAATAATGAAGAAAATTATTGTTCGTTTTCTTATTTTTGGTTTTATATTGAAAAACAAGATTCTTCTTCTGCCGCATTTTTCACTTTGACTTTGATTTTATTACGACTTCATTCTCGTAATATTATAACTTTATTCTCATAATATTACGACTTCATTTTAACTTCGACTTTATTCTCGTAAAATTATGACTTTATTCCTGTAAAATTATGACTTTATTCTCGTAAAATTACGACTTTTTCTGGCTTCGACTTTATTCTCATAATATTACGACTTTAATGTCGAAATGTTACGACTTTATTCTCATAGCGCCAGCATTTATTTATTTTTTTAATCTGACTCTTATACTCCCTCGTAATATATCAAATCTTTCTTCTTTTTTTCCCCCCAAATGCCATGCTATAACTTTTAAAAGTCAAGTTAATGGTATTATTTCACATGATCGTTTGTCTTTAGCAGCTAAACAAACGCCGTGTGACATCTTTAGAACAGCTTGTCTACTTTCCAGAGCCGCGAGCCGCGGATAATCATCTATTTTTGCACTTGGGGCGAAGCTGAGGCTGAGTAAACCATTTAAACTACATTTCCCACGAAGATTTACTTCCGCGTCGCCTTTGTTGTGATGACGTCAGACGCACAAGCCGTGTTCTATTTTGCTCGGCGCAGACGGGACGGACGCTCAATGGAGTCTAGCGGTCACGCCGGAGCTCGAATAGACGTGACAAGCCAAACCGTAGACGTTTTAGGAGTATTTTTTTGAGTTTGTCCGTTAGTTTAGCTTCGGATCGATGCGGTGCACGTCAAAGAACAGTTTTGATCGGACGTGAAAAAGCGACGCTGCAGCTGTTGCGCCGTGAAAACACAAAGGCCTGCGTGCGGCTACGTGAGATTAGCTTTAGCTGCCGAATAGTTCACTACGCCGATACTTATGCGACACTTTAAGAGTTTAAATCTTTTATTTTATTCGTAATTAAGTGAAGATTACATAGACACGAGCCTGGAAATCGCCACGGAAATGTCGGATCAGAGTGCGGTGGTTATGCAACAGAATTTGGACAGGTGAGTTCCAAAAAAAAAAAAACGGTTACAAAACGTGATTATTTGTGTTTTTTTGTTTGTTTTGTTTTGTCTTTGCGCTCTTTACGTGATGCAAATGGTGTGAAACTGGCGTGGAAATGCGTTATTGTGATGTAAAGTTGCATATTTTCAGTGTTGGGAAGGTGACTTTTAAAATGTATTCCCCTACAGATTACAGATTACACACCCAAAATGTAGTTTGTAACGTAATCCATTAAATTACTTAAAGTGAGTAATGTAATCTGAATACTTTGGATTACTTGATTTGTTGTAGAGAAGCAAAGGCGAGGAAATCTTCACATAAGAAGTTTTGTCTGATAAAAGAAAATGAAAAGGCCAAACTTTACTGAACCAAATTAAAAATATTATTGATAGAAGAAAAGGATGCAGCATGATTTAGTCCTGTTAAATCCTGCTTTAGTCCTGGTTTTAGACCTGGTTTTAGACCTGGTTTAGACCTGGTTTAGACTTGGTTTAGACCTGGTTTTAGACCTGGTTTAGACCTGGTTTTAGACCTGGTTTAGACCTGGTTTAGACTGGTTTTAGACCTGGTTTAGACCTGGTTTAGACTTGGTTTTAGACCTGGTTTAGACCTGGTTTAGACCTGGTTTTAGACCTGGTTTTAGACCTGGTTTAGACCTGGGTTAAGACCTGGTTTAGATCTAGTTTAGACCTGGTTTTAGACCTGGTTTTAGACCTGGTTTTAGACCTGGTTTTAGACCTGGTTTTAGACCTGGTTTAGACCTGGTTTTAGATCTAGTTTAGACCTAGTTTTAGACCTGGTTTAGACTGGTTTAGACCTGGTTTTAGACTTGGTTTAGACCTGGTTTTAAACCTGGTTTTAGACCTGGTTTAGATCTAGTTTAGACCTGGTTTTAGACCTGGTTTTAGACCTGGTTTTAGACCTGGTTTTAGACCTGGTTTTAGACCTGGTTTTGACCTGGTTTAGTGTCCGGCAATGAGTGGAATTACTGGGGAAAAAAAGGGATATAGCCCGAAATGTGAAAACAGGAAAATACAGTCATGTAATCCATTTATTTCAACAAAGTAACTGTAATCCAATTACCACTCACTGAAACAGTAACTGTAACTGAATACAGTTACTCATAATTTGTACTCTGATTACATAACTCCGGTACATGTAATCTGTTACTCCCCAACACTGTACATTTTGTTTGTATGGTGCACGATGTCCTGTGTTTCCATTGCAGCAAACAGTAATTTAATACGATAGTAAAAGTCGATCACAATCTCTGCTGCTGCACGTTTTGTAGATCGCCTGGTCACGCCTTTTTTCACAACAACACAGCTATCCATGTTTTTAATCTGTAATCTGTTGTTAAATTTTCCCTAAGCATTTCTTGTAAACCAACCAGAGAGTGAAAGTGAGACAGGAAGAAAGTGGTATTTTCAGTAAATGCAAATTTGTGACCCACTTTAGAGCAGCTTGGGGCGACAAATCAATCAGTAGCTTGACTTGTGAAATGTTTGAACTTGGGAGAATTTGCCTGTAACCACATGTTCCCTTTTACCCGGGACAGTCCCAGGTAGTGTCCCAGTAGATTTACTTATAACCAGTGATTTGTCCCAGTTTTATACAAGAAAAGTCCCCATTTTTGACCAATTTAATACCTGTCAACCATAAATAGAGGCATAAATTGTCATTTGATTTGAAAAAATACAGAGAAACTGCTTAAAAATGACCAAAACACAAAGAAAATGTGACTATACTGACTCATATTAGTGCTGAGTGCGGAACAATTTTACAGGGATGTTCTAGTTTTTTTATTTTGAATATCTGCTCACCTAAGACATGAGCCTATAAAACATGTAAACTTAGGATGACCAGACGTTCATATTTACCCAGGACAGTCCCAGTTTTGAGCTCTGCGTCCCCTGTCCCAACAGATTTATCCAAAAACCAGTGAGTTGTCCCAGTTTTACGCAAGAAATGTCCCTATTTTTGACCAATTTAACACCTGTCAACCATAAAGAGAGGCATAAATTGCCATTTGGTTAGGATAAAATATAGAAAACCTGCTTAAAAATGACCAAAACAGAACAGAACAGTGCAGAACAGTGCAGAACAGTTTTCCAGGGATGTCCCAGTTTTTTTTTATTTTGAAAATCTGCTCACCTAAGACATGAGCCTATAAAACATGTAAACTTAGGGTGACCAGACGTTCCTTTTTACCCGGGACAGTCCCAGTTTTGAGCCCTGTGTCCTCTGTCCCTGCAAATTTATTCAAAACCAGTGATTTGTCCCAGTTTTATACAAGAAAAACTCCCTATTTTTGACCAATTTAAAACCTGTCAACAGTAAATAGAGGCATAAATTGTTATTTGATTAGATAAAATACAGAAAAGCTGCTTAAAAATGACCAAAACACAAAGAAAATGTGGCTATATTGACTCACATTTGTGCCGAGTGCGGAACAATTTTTCAGGGATGTCCCAGTTTATTTATTTTGAAAATCTGGTCATGAGCCTATAAAACATGTAAACTTAGGGTGACCAGATGTTCCCTTTTACCCGGGACAGTCCCAGGTAGTGTCCCAGTAGATTTACTTATAACCAGTGATTTGTCCCAGTTTTATACAAGAAAAGTCCCCATTTTTGACCAATTTAATACCTGTCAACCATAAATAGAGGCATAAATTGTCATTTGGTTTGGTAAAATACAGAGAAACTGCTTAAAAATGACCAAAACACAAAGAAAATGTGACGATACTGACTCATATTAGTGCTGAGTGCGGAACAATTTTACAGGGATGTTCTAGTTTTTTTATTTTGAATATCTGCTCACCTAAGACATGAGCCTATAAAACATGTAAAATTAGGGTGCGCAGACGTTCATATTTACCCAGGACAGTCCCAGTTTTGAGTCCTGTGTCCCCTGTCCCAGCAGATTTATCCAAAACCAGTGATTTGTCCCAGTTTTATACAAGAAATGTCCCTATTTTTGACCAATTTTATCTACATCAGGACTAAACTGAGACTAAACCAGGACTACATCAGGCCTAAACCACGACTGTCACAATTTTTGACTAATCTGACCCCTGCCAACATGTAAAGAGGAGCATAAATTGTCATGTCATTGTTTTGCCAAAATGCAGAAAATCGTGTTTGCGAATGACTACAAAGCAAAAAAAAAAAAAAAGCAGCGTCAGAAGTTCCTTTAATTATGACTGACAGGAGAATGCACAATTTTACACGCTCTTTTCACAGTTTTATTTATAGCAACCATCCCAACCCGCGTGTGTACCAGTTTAGAATTTTAAAAGTCTGATCACCCTACTCTAAACATATTTTATTTTATTACCAGTATAACATTACAGAGGCGTAGGAACATATTTGAACAATTGAAAGTGAATGTATTAAGGCAAGATTAAAAATGTCATGAGATTTTTTATTTTTATTTTTCATCATAGGTCCCAAAATGGAAGGAAGTGACTCTTTTTTTTGTGTAGTTGCAGTTTTGGAACCATGTGTTTTGTGTCACAGGATGTCGTGATATAGAATTTGGTGGAGCGGTTACGATTTATTGTGAGAAGAACATCACAATTTTATAGTTATTCATAGGGCTGGGTATCGATACGACTGCCGATACGATACACACCTCGATACACAGGCCATGATATGATACATATCTCGATACAGCGCACTTTCGATTCGATATGATATATTTCAAATCGATTCGATACGGTTCAATAAAAAATAAAGGCTAAATCGTGGCTGTGATACTAAAAGTCTTTGTTAAATCACTTCTTGTGCAAAGTTCATATGAAACACAAACATTTTAATCACCAAAACAGTAAAAATGTCAAATGTGTCGCATAAATGAGTTTCCTTTCGCTCCACAAGCAACAAAACTGTAGCTCTGTAACAAAATAATTTAGTAAAACACACCTAAAAATACTCTTGGTGATATATCGATACTAGGGATGGGCATGATTAATGGATTAATCGATAATTGATCATTAAGAATTTCATCGATTACGTTAATTTTAATCGACAAACTGAATGTAGGTTGCTGTGTGTAGTCGTGACCAAACAGGTGTGTACATGTGTCTCTGCATCAGAAGGAGCGAGACACAAACAGTGGGTCAGTCTGCAACGTACTGAAGCACAAATGTGTATTTAACGATGATTTGTACAAGAAATTCCACACTTTCCGTTGCGTTCGGGACAAGTGTGAGTCCATGTGCACAGTGTATAAAGCAGCACATATGTTTCTGTGTCCAGTGGGAAAAAGTTTTACCAGGTGAGAGTCGCTCAATGTCGATGACGAGTCCCCGCCCCCTCCCCCCGTACGCTGTCCTGGTTTTGACAAACACAAATCTGGTCACACTAACCTGTATTCACCTGAGTCATGTCTTTTAATCCGACAGAAAGTTGAACCACATCAGCGACACAAGAGCTGGAGTTTTATCTTCTCTTAGTTTATGCAAATTAGCGATGCAGTTTTAAGTTTTGTTTCTGTGAGAGTTGAACAAAACTGAATTAAACACATTATAATGTCAAACGGGCTGATGTGGCTCTAGAGTCGTTACGGTTTATTTGTCGTAAAGTTTGAATTTATTTATGCAGATTTAGTGCAGATAGTAATAATAATGATGATCATTTTAATATAAAAACGTTAATGATTAATCGATAATCGATCGTTAATTCTTCCGACGATCGATTAAGAAAATTTCATCGAATGCCCATCCCTAATCGATACACCAGCCCACCATATCGATACTGTATCATCACATTAAACGATACGATATATCGATATTCCGATATTTTTGCACACCCCTAGTTATTCATTTATTGAGCCCAAGACCAAACAGTTGTGCATCTTAAATTCTCTTAAAATACAAAGAGTTCTCACGATCATGGAAATCCTGGAAAAGTCATGGAGTTTTAGTATCTCTTTCAGCAACTCCAGCGTTCTGTTAAGTTCTCATGAGGCTATTATGATTATTTCTGAACGTCTG